CCCGCCGAGCCGGGGCTGCCGCCATGGGGGCGAGTGCGGGCCGCTGGGCCGGAAGCGGAACTCGCCCAGACCGGAAGCCGGAAGTGTGGCATCGCTCGCAAGGCGGAAGTGCGGCAGGACCGGAAGCGAAGGTCGGCTTCCCTCCGGAAGGCGCTAGTGGCGTTGGGGTACCTGAGTACGGGGTGCTTTTCATGAGTTCAGCTGGGAGGCAGCAGGACCTTCTGGTCACCCAGTGGGCCCTGCAGCCATGCCGGCGGTGGGGCGAGGCCTTCAGGGAGTAGGGCGTCAGCCGCTAATCCCTCGTGGAGGAAGGTAGGTTAGGAACCGCGTGGGAACTCCTCCGCCGCAGAAGGGTCTAGCAGTTCCCCGAGGAGCCCTGGAATACCGTATATAACAAACGCTTTCGGCGGAGGAAGGCGTGGGCAATCCAAATTAAGTGATTTTGTTTAAAATTTATGTCGCTCTTAATTCTTATACGATGCACTCCAGCAGCACAGTGTTTAAAGCATCAGGTTCATAGTCTTTCAGAACTGGGATCTGAGAAACAGGCGACTCGATTTTAATTGCAGTTGTCAGATCAAGTGGGGCTGGCAGCAACCAAAGGGTTTAAAAGGGCCGCTGAACAGGCTTTATTGAGGTATCACTCCCGGGCGGAACTCGATCAGACCCACAGCGGGCACAGGAGAAGGGTCTGAGGAGAAACCTCGACTGGACCGGACTTTTATGGGGCTTACAGCAGGAAGGGAAGGGCTCGGGACAGGAAAAGGTATTCACAACGTCTCTTGCCCCCTTGGAGTTGGTCAGGGGAGATGGCTGAACTCCAGGATTGGTGGGGGGGTCCTGCTGATTGACAGGCGTTAGTCAGGAGATCTGACAGGCATTTCCACCCGCATCTGATTGATGTTCTTTTCCCTGCGCTGCTTTGTTCTAAGTCGCCACCACGACCTAACAGGAGTCAGTGGTCTTTTCTTGCGTCCTGGTCGAACAGTCCCCTCCCTTTCCCTCCCACCCCTATTCAAACTCTGATTCTTGCCATCAAGTCAGAAAGGTTTCAGATGTGTCGCTCAGAGTAATGGAAATGAGTTTATTGAAGGGATAGAAAAGGGGACACTCTCAAGGGAAAAAGTGGGTCCTTTCAGAGAGGAGAGGAACAGCTGCCCTCCTGCAGTCCACAGTTTTATTGAAGATCCCAGGGAAATTCCTAGAGAGTCCCACCCAGATCCACTTTTGATTGATAACAGGGTGACCTGGTACTTGTCTCCACTGCCATGACAACTGTAGGTCACCTTGGCCCATGCTGAATTATTCTAATTGGATTCTTAACCATACACTCTCACAAATTAAAAGGGTCTCTCCATTCAAATGGTCTCTCCATTCAAAGTAACTTGGAGTCCTCTTAATGTTTCCTGTCCTGCATTTTCTTGTAGATAACAGGTTGTTTGCTGAAAAATATGACATAGCCTGCCACTTAGGCCAGTCAGGGATGCAGGCAAATTGCTTTTGGGCAAAGAAAGCATGTGGGGGTCGGTATAGAGGGCTCATTTTATAGAATTATTCTCTTAATCTTGTATTCCTGATACCACCAGTCACCGAGTTCTGCTTCCTCAAATGTTTAAATTTGAACATAAGAGAAGCATGCAGAGGCAAAGGTAGAAAGCAAATTTTATTTAAAAAACAGTGACACAGACTTCTCCCAGGAGAGAGAAACAGGCCATAGCTGCATAGCTGTTGTCCTGGTATCCCAAGAAGTGGGAGCATCTTACCCCTTTTATACATCTTAGGTTTTCTTTGTTCTCCTATCTTCTTCCCCCTTATCTCTCTCCTTCTTGCTTAGGAGATACCTGTGTGATGGCCAAAAGGTGAGAAGCAGGGGGAAGGGCCAAATGGAGTGATCCAGGCAGGTAACAGCCCAGGGGGCATTAATTTGCTGAGGGCCATTACCAAGTAGGAATGAAGCATTGAAATTTCCTTGCCAAGCGTACCCCATGCTGCTTAGAGGACATTCGATGGGACATTGCATGCATGCTTTAATAAGGTGACCTTGCTCAAGGACCAAGGCGGATCTGGGTTTAGAGCTGATCAGGTTTGAGGAAGTAACCGGTTCCTTGAGTTTAAGGCGTTGCTAGTTTAAGATAATGGGTTTTAGGGAAGTTAGAGGTTGAAGATTATTGCTGGGATTAGGGTGTTCCTGCTGCTTGCTCCCGTTGAGTTCTCGTGAGATTAAAATGGGATTTGGAGAGAGCCTCGTGGAGTAGGTGGATTGTGCGGGAGACGGCAGAACGCGATTGCCCCTGGACCTGTGTGGAGGCGGTGTGAGAGCTGGAATAAAGAATTGCTGTTTGAACCTACAAAGCTGTGTGGTGGCTCTTGATTCTGGTGCCCAGGCAAGACCTTGGCATTAATTAGCAGCTCCCTGTCTGCTCTGGGGGTGTTCATTAACAATCTGTGGTAGGGACAGTATAAGCAGGTAATCTTGATAATCCAAGGGCTCTGGAGGCATTAACATTCCAACCTCCCAGGGGTGGTCTTCATTTTCGTGATCTGACCCAATTACCTATCTACACCGATTGCCTAGGATGCTCCCCTTCCAGCAGGAGTTTCTCCCCTCCCAGCAGGGTGTCTCCCCATCCCAGGGAATTGTCTCCCCTAGTGTGGGGGCATCTGTCCTCCCAGAAGGGCATCTCCCCTCCCAGCAGGGTCTCCACTTTTAGGGGTGGCTCCACTCCCAGGAGTGTCTCCCCTTCTTGCAGAGTGTCTCTCTTCCCTAGGGGTTGTCTGGGTTGGTGGGGCAAGCATCTCCCTTCCCAGCAGGGAATCTCCCCTCCCAGGGGTTGGCTTCCCTCTCAGCAGGTGTCTCTCCCCTAGAGTGGTGTGACTCCCCTAGAGGGTTGTCTCCTCTAGCAACAGGGTGTTTCCCCTCCTAGGGGGCATCTCCACTCCCAGCCAAGTTTCAGGTGAGTAGCATAGTGGGGGACTGAGGGCGGGGCCTGGGTGCCACCTTGGGTGCTGTCTGGGCCTCAGGCTGAGGAGGGAGCTTTTTCCTCAGAGATGAACAGAGGAACCCTTTCTGCTGGACAACATGGGTCATTCCACAGGGAGGGCAGAGGTCCCCTCTCCTCCGAGCAGCCTCAGGGCTCACCAGCTGGGAAACCCTCGTGGACCTCATTTCTAGGTGTGCTCCTGGGTTTCCTCCCTGAGCAGCCTGGGAGAGATGCCAGACCTGGGGACCCTGGTGGGCCAGGTCTACAGGGCTGCCAGGTTTTCTTTCCTCAGAACCACCTCGGGGAGATGCCAGGCCTGGGGACACTCTTGGCCATGACTCTAGGTACATTCTGGGGTTCACTCTCCTTAGAGCAGCCTGAGGAGATGCCAGGCCTGGACCCTCTTGACCACGTCTCTAGTGATGCCGGGGGTACTCTTCTCAGAACAACCTAGAAGAGATGCCAGGCCTGGGGACAATGGTGAGTGATGTCTCTATAGACGCCCAGGGTTCCCTCTCATCAGAGCCATCTGGAGGAGTCACCAGGCCTGGCCACGCTGGTGGGCTACATCTCTAGTGAATCCCAAGGTTCCCTCTCCTCAGAGCAACCTCAGGGAGATGTTTGGCCTGGGGACTATAAACACTTCTGCTTACCTTTCCTCAGAGCAGCCAGGGGGAGGCGCCAGGCCTGGATCCCTGGTGAGCCACATCTCTAGGGACACTCTGGGGAGGAAGCCACTGAGGCTTGGTGAGTTCAGGTTTTCCCAACCTTGAGAGTGGCCACCGAGGGCTAGGATTTCACTGCTTTTCTTCAAACCTCTGATGCCACAAAGTTGGCTTACGGCATCCTGTGTCAAAAATTCACTTCCAAGAGGCCTCTGTGGTGGCCCATTACTGGCCTCTGTCCTTGGGCACAGGAGTGAAGCAGGGCTCCATGTGCCTATCTCTTCATGGAAAGAGAGAGAGAACATGTGCTAAACCCTTTAATTGGAGAGAAGCCATTCAAATGATGCAAGTGGTCAGGTTTCAGGGGGTTGATTGTGGCTTCATGATGTCTGCTGTCAGCAGGTTGACTGACAGCTAGAAAGGCCATGCTCAAAAGCATGGCCTTTTTATAGGGAGTTTCCATGGAACATTCTATCCCAAACAGGGCAAAGGGGTAGTGTTACAAAGGAAGGGATGAGTGTAGCTCAACCTCAGGGGTATGCCTACTCAGAAGACTGGCCTTGCCATCTGAGTGGGGGAAAAGACCGAGTCATGAGTTATGGCACTACCATGCCAACTACAGTGATCTTTCAGATCCTTGTGATGCAACAGGACTGGAAGGCATGGTAGCTCAATGTGGCTCCCCACATATTCCCCCTTTCTTAATATTTAAATACCATTGGGGGATTATATCTTTTAGTCACTGGATTCGTGGTCTGAGGTCATCATGATCTACTATTGAAACACAAAAGGAATTAGTAGAAAACATATTATCTCAATGAAACACCATGTGGAATGTTTCAACATATTTAGGATTAAAGTCATTTAACTTTGGAAGATCCAGGTTATTATTATTATTTTGCCAATGCTTATCAGAAGATTCTTAATCTTTTCCCAATTTTATTGGGACGCATTCTGTTTGGCCATAGTAATATAGACATTTTTATTTGGCATGGCATTTAGGCCTTTCCACAAACCATAGAGCAGAGAGCTCATTCACAATATTTATTACAGT